AGCAGCATCTTAGATACTGGGCTGTTGAGGTGTCAATGGCTAATGGCAGGGAGGCATCCCAGGGCCCCCTTGATGAGAGGAGTCCATAGCCCCTTTGTTGGGGGTGGCTGTGAATTCTGTCAAGAAGTCAGCAGAAGCAGACTCAGCAAAACAATGCAGCAGACTCGTGGGGAGGTTCGGTCCAGTCACTCCCCTCAGGTACAGTCTGTAGCTCTGGTTGTTACAGGGTATTGTCAGGCTTTGCCTTGGCCAGGTGCTCTGCATGAAGAGACTAAATCTGGCTATTGCATGACATCTCTGGTTGACTCTAGGATGCGCCAGGGAATCTTAAACGCATTGCATGAACCCAGCTGTCAGCCGTTTTCACCTGCAACTGGAGATGCCTTTCCCTTCTGACGCGGTGCTGCAGGCAGACTGCCTGAGGCCTGAAAGCAGCAGGCTGCAGCACCTGAGAGGGTCACCACAAAAGGTGTTGCTTCACTGTCTTCTGTGCTTTTCACCCTCCCAGGATTCCTGATGCTGCTGGGGAAAAGCTGTTAGGCTTCATATGTGCCCACAATGGGTGCACAAAGCTGCTCCTGGGCTCTTGCAGCCTGCTTGTGGCAGGTGCCTCACCCAGCGTGGCTCCTCCTGGCCCTCAGAGTCTGTGTCTTGTCCTGCCAGACCCTTCCTTTCAGGGAGGCTCCCAGCTGAAACTCAGATCTCTGCAGTTGCTGCCAGACCAGAACAGGGCTTGATGTGAAGAAGAGCAGCGCCCTCTTCCTCCCGTGTTTCAGAGCTCAGAAATCTCCTTCAGCAAATCTTCAGCAGTGCCATTCCTGCGTGCCCTGGCTCTGCTGCTCCTTGGTCTCTGTGAGTCAGAGAAGGAGAGAGAATATCGTGTTTGTATGGTGTGAAATGACTTGCACAGGTTTAGCCTTGACAAGATCCCTCCTATATCTTTAATGACCTGAATATAAAATTTACGGCGTGGAAAGCCCCAGCAGCAGAGGAAGCCATCAGCACACAAGCTGCCTTTTGCAGGGCAGGAGGGGAAGTGAAATCCACTGAGATTTGGGAAGTATGAATGATGTAGTTATGGTTGGCACTTTGAAATATATACGTAGCTTGCTTCAAAATAAATATTTGCAGTTCCACTCCAGCATATATGTGAGAGGGTGAGAGCTAGCATGTGTTGGTATTTCTTAAAACTAACCTTTTTGAAAGTTTTGTGCTGGAATAATCTTATTGCCCTGAACAGAGTTTAGTGTAATACATGCCAGGGAGAAGTGTCACCTGCCCTTCTACAGCCACCATTTCCTGCCCAGCTGCCCAGGTAGAGTTCCTGAAGCAAGCTGTGCAAGGGAGAGTAAGGGAGAGAAAGATATGAGAATGTGCTTTTGCTTGGAAGCTGCAGGTGAGGAAAGTTCTCTTGTGTTTTCAGCTCCATGAAAAACTTTTGAAAGACACATTAGCCATACCTGCATCCAAACTTTTGACAAAAGGCAATTTTTAAGTCTCCAAATTATTCCAGTAATTTGTCTGAAAGTGCTAGAGCTGACCATTATATAGACTGCATTATTGGACAGCATAATTTATTTTTCTTCAGTAATTATTGTGGCTTCCTTTTCTTGAGCCCTCCACAGTCTGTCTTCTGGAAATTCTTTCCTGTAGAGTTTTGTCTTTGTCCTGGGTTATATTATTATTATTATTATTAATTTTTCTGGGATTCATGTCTGTTTTTCTGTTGCTGTTGAATTATACAGCTTTATTTATTTCTTATTCTGAGTTTTCTGGGGCATCTCTGCATCTTTTCAGGATATGTTGGCAAGTACTAAAAATCACTTCTTTTTAAGATAAGGTGAGAGATCAGAAAAAAAAAGGGGGGGGGAGGACCAGGATTGACTGACCCACTTCCCGCTTTGCTGATTTGCTCTTTGTTTTCCATTGAGACAGGAGATGAAATGAGGGTGTAAACAACCTCAGCAGCTCTTCTTTCCTTAGGCTGGTTAGCCTGCATGCGTGACTGGGTAGTGTGCCAATAAAGCGTGGCTGTAAAGTGGGGTATAAAATTCCTGGTGTTCAGCTCAATGAGTTTTACATCAAATGTAAAGCAAATTCTGTCTGCAGGCAGGAGCCGTGCTGCTCCATCTTGCAGGGAGGCTGTTAGATGAGCTCCCCAGTGCGGCATGTCCTCTGCCCTGCCTTGGAAGGGGCTTGCGCTGCTGTTCAGCACAACCTTCTTGTCCCCAGCACCCATATTGAGAGGCCAGGAAGGGCAGCATTTCCTCATGCTTCCTCCTTGCAGCAGCTTTGGGTGCTGAGGACAAAAGCACCCCTGTCCTTGGCTTTGCTGGGCCAACAGATACCTTGGGCATAGGGGAGGGCCTGTGAGGCAGCCTTGCCGGTAGCCTCTGGGGCCATTTGCCTTCAGCCTCCAGTGAGCTGTGGAAAACGGGCTCCCCAGTCAGTAGGATTGTACAGTAGGTGTGTTTATTCAGCGCTGGGCAGCACGGGGGGTAGTCCCACCAAAGTCGTGTGCACCTGACGCGGCAACTTGCCTTGGTTATATGCAGCAAAGAGTTACATATGCATGGGATTTCACAATATGCGTATACATATTCATAACCTGTCCCCGCTTCGTATTAAAATTAGCTTCAAGGAGTCATTTCCATAAACTCCTCCCATCTGGGTTTGCGCAGTGTATTCTGGTGGTGGTTGTTGGGGGTCATAGGGATGAAGATTGATGACTCTTCCTTGTCACCGCTCCTTGACCTCCTGTCTTTGCACAGACTCGGTTGCTCCTTGGCTCTTGTCCATCTGCAGGACCAGTTTCTGCCAGTTTCTTCAGATAGGCTCACACTCTCGTTAGGAGACTGACCTTGGGAAGGGGCTCATGGCTTCTTGCTGTAGTTAATTTGCACAATGCACCATAGTTAGCAAAGACACTAAGTAGCATCCTAGTTTAATGCCATCAGCGCTCTATCAATACTTGATAAGATTCTCCTGACTCTCTCTCTTAGTCCCCCCTTTTCTAGAAAGTTAGTAAATTCTTTTTACTGTATTCTCCTAACTCCTTCTCTCCCCAGCACGTGCTGTCTGCAGTGCATGCCGTCTGTCCGTGCCGGCAGCGGTGAGTACCACAGCTCGGTGGCAGAGCCATCCTGTCCTGGAAGGCAGGGCCAGCACCCCCAGCATGGAGGCGTTTTGCAGCCTTTTGAAGCCCCTTGCTGACATCAGCCTCGATGCTGTGTTGTGCAGAGATGCGTGCACGCTGCGCTGGAGTCAGGAAAGGGTAAGAAAGGCATTTTAGTCTGTTGGGCTTTTCTTGAGTGAGAGGCAATGGTCGTGTGCGGACCCGTCTCCGGTGAGCAGGATGAGCGTTTTCTGAGTGTGCTCTCCTTCAGAGACGTTGCACTGGGAGGGAGCCATCAATACCCCTGGCTAATCTGTTGCAAGTGAATAACCAGCTCAGGAGTTAACCACTGTTTTCAAGGTATCCAAACTAAACGACTGTTGTACTGTGGATCTCAAGTAGTGTGGGCAGATGATACGCTGCTGCTCCAACTTTCCTCTTCCCCATGATTAAAAATCAGGATGGGAATTAGGACCTTTATCTTGCTTATTACCCTTAAGTACAGGGCAGGTTTTTTTTTCTTATCTTTTGGTATCAGGTGCATTTCTAACACACAGTGAAAGTGAAATTGTGTGATTCAGACAAAATGCTTGTCTGCTAAATGAATACCCAGCCTGTGGTCTTGGAGCTGTAGTGCGTGGGTTGCTTTAAATGCTCCGCCTGCTCTTGCAGCTTTACTCTTCTTGCCATAAACCAGAGCTGATGGGGCATTTGCTGGTAAACCAGGCAGAGTGCCACTCCACCAGGGAGCTTTTATATTACAGTCACCGCCTGGTTTCAGTGGAAGTCCTTTGGTTTTCTTGTGTGCTTCCTTCCTTTTGGGAGAGCTCAAATGTAGCCATGTATCTTTATTTAATCAGGTGAATAAGTGTCAAATAGTTCCCAAGGTGAAAAATAAGGTGCTTTTGTCCTCTCAGGCATGTTTGCTCATAGTGGAACAATGGTCCCATTGCATAATGAACCAAGTCAGCACGGGAGAAAAAACGATATCCCCCTTCAATCTGTCAGCCTCATTATCCTGCTGCACACAGGCTGCTCAGTGAATGCTTGAGTTGGCTCACGCGTAATGGCCTTTTTGTGAGGCTGTGGAATAATGGGCTTGCGTTTCAGTGCGTTTTGCGCTCATCTGATTTTTCCTCTCTGCGAGGTCGTGTGAGGAGGGGCTGAGCGCAGCTGGGCCGGCTGTGGCTGCAGAGCTCAGGTGAAATGCCTGCCCGCAGCACGTGGCTGCTCTGGCATCAGCACAGCCCGGGTGGTGCTCACATCTGCCCTGCTCCAGGCATGGCTCTGCACCAGCACAGCTCCCGTGTGCCAGCCTGCGGGGCCGCCTGGTCCGGGCAGCGCTGTCAGTGCCCCCCCTGCACGTTCTGCCAAAGCCGGCCGAACGCCGGTGGTGTCTCCGTGAGCAGCAAGCGTGAGCCTGGGCTGCATCAGCGGGGAGAGGAAAGACACCATCAGGAGCTGTGGTTCCTCCTCAGGAACCACAGTGCCCAGTGCCTCAGATTCCCAAGTGCCCTGGGAATCAGGCTTGACATAAATCCTGGGCTAAGCTCTGCTTTTCTCGTGCATGCTTGCTATCACATCAGAAGTGTCCTTTAGCTTAACAAAAACCAATCCCACGTGGGATGTTTCCGGAGCTGTGCTGTATCTCCTGAGCCAGGGCTGTATTTTCTCATGCGCCTTCTCTTCGCAACAAATAGCTCGAAAGGTTCACATCAATGTCTGCTTGCTGAGCTGCAGCCTCTGGGCCCTTCTGAAAAAAAACACAATAAATTGAAATGTTTCTGGTGAAATCTTTCACTGCGCAGGACCACATTGGTATTGGGCAGCTGTCATCAGCTGGGCTGCTTCAAACACCGGCGTCAGGCCAAAAGGCTGTGCTCCAGAGCTGCGCTGGCTCTCAGGCTGCTGGCAGCCCTGTCAAAGCACTGGCACTCTCGTTTCTGCCAGTGATGCTGCTGGGGGCTTTGAGAGCCACTGGTGTGTCTGAAGGCTGATGCCTGCCTGCCTTTTTCCTGGATCGAGCCCATTTAAATCAGACTGGTTCCGCTCATAGGAGTCACCATGCAAGACGTTTCTTTGACCGAGATCGGTTCCTGGCACGGGAGCAGTGCCGGAAGCAGGCGCCTGCAGCTAATCTCACTTTCAGGAGAGGCAGCGAGGAGGAGCAGTGCTCATTATTCCCTTCGAGTGTGCCTGAGCTCACCCGCGTTGTTTGTGCACCGCACTGCAATGAGCCTAACCCCTCCTTTACTACGCGGCGCTGGCTGGAGTACCTGCTGGTCTCCAAACGTCACGAGGCTCCGCTTATAAAGCACAGGCAGCGCATCTTCCCCCTGCTCTGTCCCTCCAAGAGGCGCATCTTTGAGAAGCAAGCTCTGCGCAGGCAGAAAGATGTTTTATTCAGGTATTCTGACAGAGCCGAGTAGAAAAGAAGTGGAGATAAGGGAAGCTGCGTCTCTCCGCCAGCAGAGGAGGATGAAGCAGGCGGTTCAGTTTATTCACAAGGATTCTGCAGATCTTCTTCCTCTGGATGGGCTGAAGAAGCTGGGGACTTCGAAAGACACCGTAAGGTTTATCATGTTTACTGACAGCACATAATGAGATTTAAGAATCTGATAGGGCAGTGTCTTTTATTTATTTATTTTTTTTCATGCTATTTTACTGTTAAGAGAATGAGTTGGCTGCTGGAGGAATTAAGTAGAAATTGGTATAATAATGAGGCTTTTGTATGTAAAGGAAAGGAAGTGGAAATATGATGTTATGGATCACATGAGGTTGCTGTTTGCTAGTAGGTGCTTTCACATGTCTGGCACTTGGATCTAAGAGCTTTTTTTTTTTCATTGATACAGATGTCAGAAAATTGGATATGGCTTTCTATACAAAAATCCTCTCAGAATCAGAGTAAACCAAAATGGCTTCATATAATACATACATATGTACACGTTTGTCTGGGATGCAGATGTGTGCGTAACGTGATCACAAAAGGTTCAGTGAAGTACAGCCAGCAGGACTTCACAATATAAAGCTGTCACGATTACGCTTTGATAAAGGCTTATGCATATGTGGTAATTTTTACGAAGAAACTTAATGCGAGGTTTTAAATACATACATATGTAATGAACCATGTGATCCTGCAGCTGACACATAATATCCTCCATTTCTAAGGCTGGAGAGCTCTTCTGAATAATGTGCACAAATGTTGGAGCTTTCTTTAATGGGAAAAAATACCTGAATGTAATAGAAAAAGTCCTAATGTAAGAACAAAGTCTAGAAAACATGCCTTACTGAGGAAATCTTTTCTTTATTTTTCCCCTCAGTTTTTGCAAAATTCTTGCACCTTGTAAGATTTCATATTTACTTTTTTCAATTGTTGATATAGTTTTGTTGAAAAATATTAATCTTTATTTTTAGTGAGTTAATTGTATTCTGTCACAGCCATCCTGCTCAGCTGGCTTAGGGTCAGCTTCGTCTGGGTGAGATGAGTGGCATGAGCTTGCCGTTCTCTGCATTGTGCACAAAAATGATTATTATTTTTTTTTACCATCCCAAACATTTTGCAGTTTTAGGCAGCCACGTCTCTCGGCTGGGGAAAGGCTTGGAAGGAGCTTTGCTAAGTCACCATCGAACTGTGGTTATCTGGTAGGGAGCTACAAAGTGACTTTTTTCGTGCTCTGGCGCTGCTTTGGGCAGGTGGGACCCCCACCTCAGCAGCAGCCTCGAACAGCACAGGTAGGAGGCCCAGGGCATCAGGGGTCCTTGCTCAGGACACCTGCACGTCCTTCTTTTCATAAAACCACACATCTCCCAACAAAGCAGCGTCCTTTCACGTTTAAAATTGTGTGACAGCTGTGCTGACGTGGGTGGAAGAGCATTTGATGTGACTGACATTATTAATGCAGGGTTTCCCTGCAGGGGTTTTCCATCAGCCTCGGCAGGAGAAAAGAGGAGATAATGGCTCCTCAGGTTTGGGGATGGGTGGTGAGGACAGAACCTTGTCTCCAGGGTGACTGCTTTCAGCGGCAGCTGGCGGTGACTCCTCTTGGTTCAGGGATAAAGCCTTTTCCTTTTGGCTGCATCCCGGGCTGGGCCCCCCGGTGGTGCTGTGTGTGTAGAGGGGGGCACATCGCCTGGGCGCCTCCAGCTGCTGTGCTCCCACTCTTGGGAAGCCTGTGCTCTCCTGGTGATGCCCTGCGTGGGCAGCTTTGGTGTTCCCCAGTAAATACTTGTTGTAATTGTCCGTATTAAGCCCCATATGTTTTAGTATCTTACTCTGGATTGAACCAAACTCTTCTAGCTCCTTTCTCCCTGTATGTATTTCATTTTAGTTATATGATACGAGACCAAACCATAGGTTAGGCATGCTGGGTTTGACAAACACACCGCTGGTTTATGACACATAACCCAGCTCATTTCTGCTCATAACACGCATGGTTATGAGCAGAAACTGGGCTTGTTTTGATGCTTTGCTATCAGCCACCTCTCCAAAGCTCAGGGGACTGGCACAAGGTGGTCAGGAGCTGGGATTTGGGCCTCCCAGCTGCAGTACCCGTGAGCTGTTGCCTGAGGTGGACGGTGTGCTGCCTGCCGCCAGATCCTCCATGTGCTCAGCATTGCTCTCACCAGCTCGTGCTGCATTTTCCACCAAGCAATGAAGGCTGAAGATGCAGGCTTGGCTTCCAAAGCAGAGCGAGTTGCTGGGGATGGGTGGCCCAGCAACTCACAGCCTGGGACGAGGGAAAGGCAAGGAACGCCAGAAGAAAATGATGGGAAGGAGAAGTTGCTTTTCTAGTATCTCGTGTAATTTATTCTGCTGCCACGCCAGGCTGAGTTTTTCCTCACTGCCCTTTCAACATGTGTAGATTATTTACTGATTTACAGCCCATCTGCTTTTCGTCCAAGAGGCACCAGCTAATTCTGACGCAGGAGATTTCTGCCTTCCCACGGAGCTTAGCAGAAGCTGGCAGCTTCCTCCTCGCTTGGGGGGAAAGCACAGAGGCTGTCAGGCCCCAGGGCCAGGCACACAGATCTACCTGTGTGTGAGGCGCGTGTCTGAGCCCCCCTGATCATCAGCAGTGATCCAGTTGATTTCAAGTGTGGACACCATCATTCAGCTGACGCAGATAGTTGCCTCCTTTTAGGGAGAGCAGGGGCGTGCGGGTGAGCAGAAGGCATCTCTTGTCCCATGACGTGATGCTCAAGAAGAGGCTGCTGATAGAATTTGAACGGGGGATGCAAAGAAGAGAGAGAATGTGGTTATTTCCCGGGAGGAGCTCTCTTGGTATTTTAAAACTTTATTTTTTTTTTCCCCCCAAACTATCTGGGCACAAAAGAGAGGGCAAACCTTGTGAGGTTGGTTAGGGGCAGGGAGGAGCTGGCATCTGCCCTGACCTTCAGCTCTCACCTGAGGGAGACTGTTGTGACAGGTCTTGTTATCCCCTCATCTAGAAGCCAAAATAGTGAGAAACCTGCCAGGGAAATGCGTACTGGGACCTGCGGTGTGTACGTGTGTATCAATCAGAGAGGAACAGAGTGGACTGACTAATTTGTATTTTTGACAGACACCGGTAAATAGGTTCAGCAATACTTGATGTCTCCATTTGTTTCTTCCAGTTTTCTACTCTGACTTTTTTAGAAGATTGCAGGTTTTTGCGAAGTCACAGGGATGGAAATGGAGATATTTTATGGAAAAAAAAAAAAAAGGCTTGTTTGGAACATCCATTCTTCTGAACGATAGCAGGAAATATTTTTTTTACTACTGCAATTTAATACTAGGAAAGACTATTTTTTTCCCCACTTTCATGGTGGTATGTAACATCTTATTCTCTTATAAAACTCTCATCAGTTTTGTGTGATGTGTAGAAAGACAGTACCCAATAACCTGGGTACTGGCTGCTCTGCCAACCTGAGCTGAGGAGAGAACACTGCTGGTTTCCAGATCTGTCGCTGAAGAGGTTTTCCCCATTTCCCTTCCATAAATGGTCTGCTTGCAGTTTTCCAGCAAAAAGTGCGTTTGCACATGTCCCCTAGCACATTATCTGTTTACCAAGTATGTATCCATCACTTGAGTCATCTCTGTGACTAACATCCCTCACTCTGTTGCACACGAGAGTCGCGAAATACAAGCTAAAGCAAACTAATTAATAGTCTGAGACAGAATGGTGCTACAGGGAACCTTTCAACCCCCTTTTGCCAGATTATTTATGTGCTGGAGCACAAGTAAGCAACATTTTCCAGCGCTCCTCTCCTCCCTCCCCCCCTGAAGGCAGGATGCGCTGCTGCTTCCACAAGAACGAGCATCAGCAAGAGATGGTCCCATGTGGTTGGTAAATGTTTGCTGAATGCTAGGTATTTTTTTTGTTATGGTTATGGAGCCTTCAAGGTGGGGATAGTGCTGATTGTGCACCTATTGCTCCCACCTCCTGTAAGAGTGCTTGCTTCTGAATCGATTTCTTCATCCCTCACCATGGGGTCTGTACCACTGATAGTGGAGCGAGTCTGCCTACCTGGCAGCTAGCTAAGTAGTGCTGGCTCTTGCAGTTTAGTCTTGTGGATCCTGTCAGGAGAACAGGTAGCTCACCAGTGCAGTGATGGATCTTTCTTACTTTTTGTGCACGAAGGAGGTGGCATATTGTAGGATCTGATGTTTCCCTGTCACTGGGAGCACAGCCACGGTCTCTCCTTTGCACAGGATGTGCTCTCAAGTGTCAGACACAGCACCTGCAGCTGGAAACGATGATGAAATTTTATTTCAAGTGACAAGTTGTATGCAGAAGAGCAGTGAAAAGTGTGGGAAAAAAGGAGACTACGTGTCCCTGTGGCCACGGATATCTGCACCATATACCTGGTTTTGTCACTCGCATCCAGCTGAACTGCCAGGGCTCTGCCCACAGCAGGATGTGAAGCACCAACGCCGCCTCAGTTATTTTAGGATGATGCCAAGTTGCATTAGCCTGCTGTAAATGCTGTTATTTAACATGTCGTCCAGAATATTTTTAAAGATGAGGCATTGTGTGCGAGGCTGCGTGCTGGCTAGCTTGGAGGACTACAGCACGAAGTTTTCAAAATTATCCCAATCCCATCGAAATCCCTTCAGAACTAGGGGTTTGCTGTTCTCGATGCCTTTGCAGACACACGAGTGTATTTAATACGAATGCAAGAAATTCAAGGATGAGACAGTAAAAAGCTCTTACTGCAGACAAATTAGAATCACAAGAAAAGGTCGGGGGGCAGAGGGAAGCTTAGCCAGGCAGAGAAATGAGCAGATAATCAAGTAGAGTCATTTCACCTCCAGCAGCGTGTGTGCATCCGTCCATGACTAGCATTAAATATAAAAAGGCTTTTGGGAAAGCAGTCAGAGGAGATACTGAGAGGCAACGTGCTTCTCGCAGAGCAAATGGAAGTGACACGGAAAGCAAGAGGCAGCCACACGGTGCACGGGGACTTGTTGGGGTGAACTTACCGCAGGTGGTGTTACTGCTCCCTCTCCTCTCCTTTCTCTCCCATGGTTTGACACTGAGGGCTTGTCCCACTTACCTCAGCTGCTAAATGGAAACATGTTGGGAAGATAGACTCAGGGCTTATTTTTGATCAAATTCTGATCCAGAGACCAGATCTAACACTAGACAGCAAATTAAGCTTGCTCCTTGCAGTTCTGCCTTGTTCACTCGCACATGGAAGAGCCAACACACAAACACCCACATCATCTTCTCAAATTCTGGGTTGATCCATGCAAAGAACATGACCGGTGGAGATCGGACTCAGCTATTTTGCATGTCAGCAACACCAGTGCTGAGCCAACTGTCAGCATGAGTTCATTCAGCACCTCCACAAGCCTTTTCCATACTTATCTAGTACGCATAATTTTCCAGTTGATTTTGTTACCTCTTAACTTCTCCCAGTTTTGCAGAATTCCTGATACTCTTATCAACAGATCACGACAATCAGAGTGGAAACAACACCTTGAAAAGCCTGATTTGTTTTTACTCCTACATGAAGCCAAATCCTGAATTTGGAGAAAGAAAGACGTGCCTCCAAAATCTGCTTAATATTTTTGAAAAGGGTTATTCCCTCACCAACGCCAAGTAGTTCTCTTTAATCAAAGCCATGTTCAGAGCTAGCACAAGAACAAATGGGTGCAGCCTAGGATGAATACATGCAGTCTGGAAATCAGGGGAAATTTTCTGATCACTGTGAGAGAAGACTTGGGGCAGCCCTCCCATGAGATCCGTGCTGACCCAGGGGCACCGGAGGATCATGCAGCAGGCTGGCAGCGTATCACTTTGGAGCTTTCCACTGACTTTACCCTGCTCTCTTTTTGTGTTCCCTTAAAGCAACCGCACAATATCCTGCAGAGGCGCTTAATGGAGACAAATTTATCAAAACTGCGAAGCAGCCGGGGCAGCTGGACTCCGAAGAGTGACATCTCAGCACAGACCAATAAGTTGAATCAGACCAAACTGGGCAGCTCCAGGAAAGTGGAGGATGAGGAGTTCATAGTGGTGAGCTGCCAGGTAATATTCCACAGCCTTCAGTTTTATTTTATTTTTTTCCTCCAAATTTCATTTTTGACAGCCTCACTGCGATGTTCTTGCTTTCCTTGTTTCTCGATTAGGGATGTTAGCTTAAGGCATTATTTTGACAAAACCCTGTTTAGTTCTAGAAGAGAAAAGCAGTCATTTTCAGCAGCGAAATAAAAACCTATTGCTATTTAGCAGCCATCTCCTCCTACGTGAGTAACGACAGCAGCTCTGCATCACCCGAGATTTGCAGCAGCCTTAAAAGCGGTTGCGTGCAGCTCATGGCTTGCCCAGGGCTGCGCTGCTCCTGCCCTCACAGCCCTGGGGCTGCCATGGCACGAACACCCAAGCATCACAGAGAAAACTGGTCTGATGGATGCCTTCTCTCGGATGTCAGGCTGCAGAAAGTAGCAAGGCTGGGGGAGCACACTGAAATGCTCCAAATTTTTCTTGCTCCAAAGCACCGTCTTGCACCATACACCAGGTCTAGCAGCTATAGGGTGCCAAGGAGATGCCAAGGCCAGTGTCTGCAGCTGGAGCCCCTCAGTGCCCAGCACTACGTTATTTCATAGCCCCAGCTTTCTCAAAAAGCAGTTGAACAGCTGGGATGGACAAGGTGATGTGCTAATGCTGGCGGTCCTGTGGGGCTTGTGCATGTGGTAGGGCGTGCCCTGAGACAGCTTGGGGGGGACAAGGAAGGTGTGGGCTGATGTAAGGAAACACCGGTGCTTCTGCATTCCTCCTCCCCCCCCACGTGTTGTCTCCCCTCTCTGCTTGCTCCTCACAGTGCGCTGGGAAGGAGCTGAAGGCCGTGGTGGACACGGGCTCGCAGCACAACCTGATGTCGTCCGCCTGCCTGGACAGGTTGGGGTAAGTGTGCTCCGGTGGGCCGGGCTCTGTCCTGCGGAAACGTGGTGCCTGGTAGTGCTTCCTGGGGCAAGCTGTGAAGCAACGCAGCCTGGTTTATGGATTATAACAGTGCATGTGGAGGGGCTTCATCCTGCAAGATATTACACTGGCTGCTCAACACGTCCTAGCTGTACACTGATGGCCTGTGACAGTCCCTCTGCTGCCCATCTTACCCATGCTGGTCCTGTGCATTTTTATGTTTTATTTTTTTTGCAGCACTGCTCAGCTTCAGAAACATGCCCAGGGACTGACCTGGCAGGCACCAGCAGGACTGCCTTTCCACCAGCTTCTTGCAGCTCCCTTGCTGTTTGTGTTTGCTGTGACAAAAGCTAAAGCCAGATTAACCAAGCAGCTTAAAAAACGCGGCTTTGATGCCCGGCTTGTTCTGCCTTCTCTGTGGTAGGCCCTGTGCAACAACAGGCACTGCTCCAGCACGTTTCACTTCAAAGCAGTCCAGTGCACGTGGCGATGATAAAACACGAGTTTTGTTTAAATTCAGCCCTGGAAAGCAGTGGGGAAGCGACTTACTGAGCGTGCTTGTTCCTGCTGGGGCTGAAGGGCCTGGTAGGATGCTGTGCCAATGCTGCTGCCTGCAGGTCAGGCTTGGGGGCGCTGGGGTTGGGTTCCTGCTGCCTCGTCTGGGGTCTGGGCAGAATGCGTGTGCCTGAGGCACAGGCTTTTTAAAAACCTGTGTGTTGTCATTGTACCTTTTGAGGTCCTTCTCTTGCCTTTAAGGCTAGCTCTCAGGTCACTGCAGTGCCATAAATCCTCCTTGGGTGTAGAACTGAACAGCAAGGCTGTGCTTGGAGGCTTATGGAAGGGAAGAGAGACCCAAGCCTGCACGTCTTCCCTCCAGTCACTAGAGCAGCCGCTGGGAAATGCCTGCTCCAGAGCAGTTCTGGGGCAGAATAAGCCAGCTCAGGGTCAAGGAGCCAATAGACTTGATGTGCTCCTGACAGCATTTTCAAGGCCAGTCTCTAAGTAAAGAGTCAGAGGGGATCCAGATTGTTCTCTTTGCTGCCTCTCCTGGTCTTTGTACTTGTGCTGAATGATGTGGGCAATCCTAACCTCAGCACTGGCATCTCTGCCTCTTTGAATGGACAAAAATAAATGCAGCAGTTTACCTGAGAGAGACATTACTGTCTGGCTGCTTTTCTATTAGATTCTAGTTCAGTTTAAAGGACGAATTAAAGCTAAATAATTAATCAGCGTTGTCAGAATAGTTCTTGGAGCACAGACAGAAGAAATTACTGTACTTGAGATATTTGTGACACCTTTTTTTCTTTTCTTGGGCTGAATGTGATTTATATGTCACAGCTTCCTCCGAAGACAGCCAGCAGTACTATCTGCTAATAAGCAAGCATTACACACATTGCCCTAGCTTTAAGGCATGGAGACAAAATGTTGTTATCTCAGCTGATGGAAGTCAACGTAGAGCATCACTTGCTTCCTCCAACACTAAATTAGAAGCAATTTTAGATCAAAGCATTTCCCAAGCTTTCTAAGGCTTGGGGAAATGTAAAACAAAAGATTCCTCAGGGTAAAAAGAACTCGCAAGCCGTGAGTTACATTCAGAGTTCGCTTCAAACAAGGCCTGACTCAACCCCATGGCTGCATCTTGGGATGGTGCTGTGAACTGAAGTGGGTATGAGCTGCAGACTACACACAGGACATTGCAGAAAACCTGCCAGAAAAGCAGTGTCTGTTAGCAGCCTGGTAACACGAACAAGCTAAGAGCACTTCAAGTCTGAGTACCCTTCAAACGCAGTTTGCTCCTCCCCGGATGGGTTGAACTGTGGCTGTTTCATCTCAGAATTGTTTTCAACGTGCAGGTTAAAGGAGCATCTTGAAGCGCTTCCCAGTGAGGAGGAGGCAATTTCCTTACCACGCAACCAGAGGGTCATCGGCCAAATTGCCCATCTGGTCCTGACGGTGGGAGCGGTCCGCGTGGAGTGCGCCGCGCTCGTCGTGGGTGAGTGCTCCGCTGGGGGTACCCTGAGGGAAAGCATGAGCCTTCAGGAAACACATTAAAATTCAAATAGAATTACTTTCAAATAGAATTTCCTCGTTTACCTATTCTCCCCTCTGGAGTAATTCAACCCCTTTATAGACTGGGTTTTGTTTAGCAGAGCAGCCATCGAGGAAGGGTGCAGATACTTTACAGAAAGCCATGGGAGATCATTTTGAATGTTTAAATCCAAATGTTCCTATTTTTCAGAAGACAATGAGAAATCCTTCTCCTTTGGCCTGCAAACACTGAAATCCCTGAAGGTAAAAGTTTTCTAGTAGGGCTTTTACCCATGCTGGAGAAGCTGGGACCGCTGTGAATTGCAGCTTTCCCTCTTACATGGATACATTTATTCTTTACAGTGTGTCATAAACATGGAGAAGCACCAGCTTGTTCTGGGGAAGACAGACAGGGCAGAAATCCCATTTGTGGACAGCATCGGCACTGGAACGGGAGAGCAGTAAGTCTGCTGTGCAGCGGGGCAGCGTGGGGCTGTCCAGGCTGGCGGGCAGGGGGCAGGCAGACCCTTGCTGCAGGTGAGATGGAGCTCACCAGCACAAGCAGAAACTGTGTGTGTTGACTCGTTGAGTTTTGAAGCAGAGCCCCTGGATTTTTCAGAAGCCTTTTTCGGCTTCTGCTTTTTCTCTGGTAAATGTTGCACGGTAAGGGGGATGTCTGCAAAAATCATACTTAGGGAAATACCTCAGAAAATGTACTGAGGTCATTAGGAGGACTCCTTGAGCATTGCTTTTTGAGAGCATTCCCAAACAAACATTTTCCCGGAAAATATTTGCAAAGCAAGGCAAACAAATCCACATGACTATTTTACAAAGTGCGGGAGAGAGAGATTCTGCCTGTGTTGCCTCTTCTTCCTGCTTTGACCTGGCTGCTGTTGCTTCTTCAGTTTTAAGTCCCCGCAGGAAGACAGTGCTGCCCGCTCTGCTACTTCCTTAATGCATGCAAGAACTCCCTGATGTGTCCTGGGGGCAAATGTTTGCTGACGTTAAACATTAAATACCGCTGACTGTATTTAACTATCTGGGCAGCGAGCACACTGGGCATGTGTGCACCAGGTTAGGGAGGCAGGGTACCAGTCGGGATTGCTATTACAGTTGGTATTTCCTGAGCAAAGGGGGTCCTGGGCGACCCAGGCACCAGGCACACGGTGGGTGGGTGCAAATATGGGCACTGCTGGCTGGCTGGGCACCTCTCAGGTACCCCGCAGCATGCTCCATGGGGACAGGAGCGCACGGGCAGCCCATGACACCCGCCAGCCGTGTTTGCAGCATGGCAGGGACGCGATGCCCTGCACGGCACCACAGGGAAGGGGTGCTGCAGGGTGAAACACGGGCTGTTTTCCCTCTCTCCTTTGAAATACAAATGAGTATGGCTTCTTGTAGCTCTGCCGCAACTGCAGCTATGAATTATTTCTTGCTACTGCATTCAAGGCTGTTTTTTTTTCCATGTAACAGTTCTGATTAAATATATTTTCCTTCCTGTTTCAGCACTTTGGAGGCGTAAAGAGGAATTGAAATGCGGTCCCTCCACAAGAGCTTGACATCAAAGAGATTCCGTGCAGCTGTTCCAGACGAAACAGCAACGCACTGCTTTGAAAACATTTATACTAGGCTACAGCTTAAGTATAGCTACATGAAATCTGTTCGGTAGCCAGTAACTTAGAGATATTGTCATGTTTATCTATGGGGTTTGAGAAACAAATGTGTGCTTATTTTCTGGACTTTTCTATATAGTGTTCTCTTTATTACGAACAGTTGGGAAACCTTACGAATTTCTTCTGATGAGAAAAAACAATTTTTATAGTGGCCTCATAAGAGTAATTGTATTTAGCTGCGATTAGAGGCTATCAGAATGAAATTTTTATTAATGATTTTTCCAGAGGCTAAGCATTTATATTCACTTAATTGATATTGCCACATTCAAATGGCCATTACCAGGAAGTTACTCATAGTAAAATAACAACGCTAATATCGGCCATGAATTATAGTTCATCCTGTTAGCCATAGTATTGTTGCTGTGTAATTGAGGACGCAATGGCTGGCTTGATGAGAAGGAGCAATTAGAGAATTATTCATGGGTTGGGCTCCCCCTCGGGCGGCGTGGCGCGGGCTCCCGGGCTGACCCCTGCAGCCGTGCCAGGGCTCACCCTCTCCAGGGAAGTCCCCAGAAGGCTCTTGGTTGTCTCCCTAGAGGGACCAGGCAGGGAAATTACTCACTGTATCGTGCCAAAAAGAAACAAATGAGCGCACAACGGTATTGTCGGGTATGAGAGCAGGCACAGAGCCTCATTGCGAATCACGTGCCCTCAGAGCACCCTTGCTTTTCCCCTGCTGCTGCGCCTGGTCCCTCGGCTCGGCTGCATCTCCAGCTTGTGACCCACAGCACCAGCAGCACCGGGGCTCCGTACCCGTGTGGGGGTTGGACTCTGGTTGTACTTTAGTGATGCTGTCAGGAATGCCACAATTTTTTATCTATTTCCAAATCACCAGGGATTTAAAGTACAACGCTAACCTTGTCCACCCTCAAGGCAAGTGGGAATGTTCACTGGGATCAGCGCCTCATTTGGCATTGCTATCCTGGAGCAGCGAGGTTGCTGCTTCACATGCTGCTTGCTTGCAGGCCAGAACAAATGTACGGTACTGCGTGGAGGAACCTGACCTTGTACGAAAGCAGCTTTCTAGATTTTTAAAAGCTAATTGGAATTAATTAGTCATCTGCTGAAGGGGCATCTTTGAAATTCAGAGTAATACCCTTGTGACATTCTGTACCCACTGATTTAGAATCACAGAACTGTGGGGGTTGGAAGGGACCTCCCGAGATCATCGGGTCCAACCCCCTGCCAAAGCAGGTTCCTTAGAGCAGGCTGCCCAGGGAGGTGTCCAGATGGGCCTTGAATATCTCCAGAGAAGGAGACCCCACAACCTCCCTGGGCAGCCTGTCCCAGTGCTCCGTCACCCTCACCGTGAAGAAGTTCTTTCGCGTGTTGGTGCCGAACTGCCTGGGCTCCATTGTGTGGCCATTGCCCCTTGTCCTGTCCCCACAGAAAAGAGGTTGGCCAAATCCCTGTCTCCCACACTTCAGATATGTGTAAACATTGGTGAGATCCCTTCTCAGTCTTCTCCAGGCTGAACAGCCTCAGGTCTCTCAGCCTTTCTTCATAGGGAAGATGCTCCCGGCCCCGTATCACCTTTGTTGCCCTCTGCTGGACTCTTTCCAGGAGATCCCTGTCTTTTTTGTACCAGGGAGCCCAGAACTGGACCCAGTACTCCAGGTGAGGCCTGACCAGGGCAGAGTAGAGGGGGAGGATCACCTCCCTTGACCTGCTGGCCATGCTCCTCTTAATGCACGCCAGGATCCCACTGGCCCTCTTGGCCACGAGGGCACACTGCTGGCTCATGATGCCAGCTGGCAACCCCGCATCAGCCAGGTTTGCGATAGCCAGCGGTGGGAGAGCAGCTCCTGCAGCGTGTGCCTGAGCAGGGACAGGGTCCAGAGCCCGGCCTGTGTGGCAGTTCCAGCCCATGCTCAGTACCGCAGCTAGTGCCTGCAATGGTATCAAAGCTGGAGCTTTATTTCCTGCAGCGGGCTTGAACCTCTTTGTGATAATGAATATGACTATCAAATCTGGAGTATTTGAGTTTTGAGCTCTTTTCTATTTTGGTGTTAAGTTTCAGTGCTTTCTCTACATATAGTATTTTATATAACACAGCTGTATGTATATACATACAGGGTTGAGCTGCCTACAGCAGTCCCACTGACGTGTTGTAGAGAGATTTCACTAAATATGAAATATATTTGATTATTTTATAAGCTATGAGTTTGGTATTTTGGTACTTCTTTCTGTGCTCATTGCTGTGCTAAATGTCAAATTAAATCTAAATAAAGTTTAATTGTTATTGCTGTTTATTTCCTTGTATCCTGGATATGCCAATTATTTGTTTTCAGTGCACTTATCTACTGAGAATAGGAGTTCATTTAAATCTTTACCCTGATGGGGCTCTACGGTGCCTTTGTGATTGTCAGGAATTGATTTCACGCTGTACAGAGACTGGCAGCTGAGACGCACGAAGCAAGCAGGCTAAATGGCACACAGCACGCTCGTGGTAAAACGCGAGCAGTTGGAATCGCAGCCTTTATTGCTGTGCTTCTCCCTCCCAAGGGATGCCTGAAAGCCAGCTTGTGCTGTTTGAGATTTGCCCTTTGAAAGGATGAGTTTGCTTCTGCCATGTTTATCTAGCTCATCGGGGCAGTACGAGCCAGGTTAGTGGAAGATGGACGAGCCTAAACTTCATGAGACTGGGAAATGGAAGTGATCAAAGACACCAGGTGAGTCACGGTGCCTTTCTCAGAGCGCCAGCTTCCCTGGGTGCTCGCTCCTGCTCACCTCCAGTCCCTGTGGGGCAACCTCTCCCCTGCCGCCTCGTGGTGAGGGGCCAGGAGCGGAGAAGAGGGCAGTGCCTGGGATGAGATGGACTCAGAAGTAACGTTATTCACAGGCATTTCACATCCTGCTGAGCTCCACCAACAGATTTTTTCGTAGCCTCTGCCAGCAGAACAGCTGACGGGCCGAAAGCTGCAGGGGTGTTTCTCCACAACTATCTGCAGGGTAATCTGTTACCCAACAGTTCTCTGGGGAGGCCCTTTTTATAGGCTTTCCTATTATTGTGTTGCTGATGACAATGCGATGCTCAATGTGTTGTGAAAACAAAGCTGATTTGAGTGCCTCAGAAGCAAACAACCAGGTGACATTTCAACACAAACGTGTCTTACTTTGCTTGGTTTGCTTTATGGGGCGAGCACCAGCTCAGGTCTGTGTTCTGGGGCTCACAGGGGATACGCTGGTTTCTAATTCCAGTATGAAAGACTCCAGCTAACTTTAGCTTCACATACTTTGCGTGTCACTGTTTGGCTTTTCAACAGATGTTGCACCTTTCCCTCAGAAGCCGGCTCCTGGTTCCTGCCAGGCCGTGTTGCTTCCTGACTGCCACAGCCAGCCCCCGGGCTGTGCGGCCCTGGTGCTACTGCAGCCATGTGCCGATCCCTTCCTCCTCTGCTCATTTGCTGATGAAAAATGAGCCTCTTAGAGACAACGCTGTAGGTATCGGTGACATTTCACTAGAGATGGTGTTGCTGAGAAGGCAACTGATTTAATGATTTTGTTACTAGAGTGGTGCTGCCACTTCCCCGGGATGAGACTTCATCGTTCTCAAAGTGGGAGTGAAAGCAGTCAATAACCTAAAAATACCATGAGTTCAGAAATAACAGGATGTCGCACCAGCAGGGGAACCAGTCCTGGAACGCTCCCGAGTTTTCCTTTTTTTCTTCTTCTTTTTCTCTCTTTTTTTGATGTGGCAGGATGGGTACCTGGGGTCCGTGAGAGCCACCCACCAGGACACGCAGCTGGCCTCTCCAGAAAACCACCTTGGCTCACACAAGAGAAAGAGGCGTGAAGATGCACGCTCATTAAATGTGACCCCCCAAGCACCCCAGAAAGAGGTGTTGTGCCTGCAGGAGCCCTTTTCAGCCCTGCACATCACCTCTGCTGCTCATGCGTTGCCCAGGCATCCGCAACCCCTCCGTGCCCTACCAACACAGCGGGCACGAGGGGCTGCCAGCTGGAGAGCATCTCGCTGGCAATGCAGACAACATGGGAATGCACTGCTGGAGTGAAACAGCAGTACTGAGAATGATGTTTTCAATGAGAAAAAATAATTGTGTTACTCTGAACTCCAGTCCTCTGTTCCTCCACCAGCAGCTCAGATGGAGCCAGGGCAGTTGCCAGGCACTCAGTAGCTGGAGAACACGCTGGCTCGTGGGGAACACCGGGGAGTTTGTTGGTATGGAGAGGACAGGAGAATGCCTCAAAGGGGGCAAAACAAGACTTAAAGCTGGCACAACAGGGAAAACAGGACTTGATGGCACAGGCGGCTGTGACTCTGGTAAAGTAGGGCTGCTGTTCACTGTGCCCCTGTTTGGCATTCTAGGTCAGTGTGTTTAAAGAATAAATCTGTGGATTTTAAACTCCTGACTCACAGAGAGCTTCTCCACTGAAAGCATCACGATGCCTCTTGGTTTAGGCTTCAGTTGACATATTTAGGATTGACTTTTCAGGCTTACGAAAACGAGATTTTGTTCCTCCAGAAGGAGATGGCCGTGGAGTTTTAAGAACACATTACGTATGAGGGCTAATTAGCTTGATATTTACAGTTTAGCATTTCCTGAGATAAATTTGTTCCAAGTGAGACCACGTTTTGATGCAAGGAAGCTTCTGCATAGCAGCCCTGTCCGCCTAGTGCTTTGTGTGCTGTGCTGTTAAGGTCATGAGCCCTGTACAGAGCCTTACAATTAAGTGATGAGCGAAGCAAGGATCCTGCATAGGGGTTAGCTGTGAGGGCTGAGACCCCTCTCCTGCCAGGCTCACTCCCCACCCTGGCAGGAGAGCATCTCACACTTGTGGTGGTCTCCCCGTGCAAGTGCCCCCCTGTCCTGGCAACTCAAGCCAAAGGTGTTATTGGGGTGTCAGTGCGGGGCCAGTGAAGATGGGACCGTGACCCAGCATGGGAAGGGCAGCAGCATAAGCGGGTTAACTGGCG